TATGTCTATTAACAAGCATTCACACCAAGGCGCGACAAATGTGAATGAAATACTCATGTCGTGTTGCTTTAAAACTTTCACAAATTTATGTTTTGATTCGTGTTACCTCAGCACGGCACCGAACATATGGACAGTGAACGCAACCGAAATCGTGCGTCGCTCAAAACTTTCGTCTTTGCTCGTGTTCTCGTATGTTTCGGCAAAATGTGCAGGTGTTGCAGAACTTTACATGTTTGATACTTCTAGAATAATTACGTCATGGATCAAAGTTGTAAGCTCGATCCGGTAACTTGGGAGGTTTTCGCGAAGATAGGCGCGGCAACGACGCAATTGGCGTACCGCGAACCGGCCTCGAGCGGTCGGAGCAGCGCCATCGGGGCTGGCTCGGTTTCCGCGACGGCGTCCGCGAGGCCCGCGTCGAGGCGGCCGCTCAGACCCCGGCGTCGCTCTCTCGATTTAATTATGTTAGTGCGAAGGCCGATTGCCCGAGGCGGCCAGCGGGCGTAGAGCGGCGAGAGAGACGGGCGGCGGGCGCGGGCGACGGGCGGTGTGCTGCGACTGGTTGGACGGGTGCGAAGGAGCGCGCAGACAGCGCGCCGCCGCCGCGCCAGACTCCACGGCACCGCAGCGACACATTGCGCCGCACTCACGCAACGCACAAATTTCGAAATAGATAACTTTCTTGGGTTCCAGTTAGTGGACGTCGAAGCCAAGATCGCAGCCCGAGCTCAACTGCCACCTTCGGACCCCTTGATGATGACGCTTTGCTACAGAATACTTTCAAAACACGTTTGTAGCTAACACACCAATTGACTTTCAAAGAGTGTCATATCCGTTTGAAGTCAACACCGAAAGCGACAAAGCTGCAGTAACACGGACAACACCAGTAGGACAATGCATCTAATTGCGATCATTATAAAAAAACAACAAAAAGGTTAACAGGCGTCATGGAGGCGACCTCATTGTAAGTCACGGTGGCGATCTGGTCGTAGGCTGACTGGAGGGTAAACGTCGGGCACATGCAGCCTGTGGGAACGTTCACCGCACACCCGAATCTCCGCAACAATGGATCACCGCACTGGTTAATTTGATTATGTCATAGCTCAAAACAAAAAAACTGACAAAGACTTTGCTACATATAACAACAAGAAACATATTAGCGACTACGCCTTGTGCTAAATACCTATTTCAAGTCAGCCTTCTATTAAGTATTATTGGTTTATTCATAAAAAAAACTGACATTTAAGAGTTACCTATTAATCTAAAACAGATAATAATAAGATTCGGGCTTGCGTTAATTTATTTGATCGTTTTATTCATGCCAGTTTCGCAAGTAGAGCACATTAAATTTACAAGTTTGCAGTCTAAAAACAATTTTGCTTTCATTTAACCATTATATTATAGAAGTCATGTCGTGGTGGCATTGATTATGAGAGAGAGAGAGAGATCGGTAATCTCTACACCAACATTATTAAATATCTTACTTGATAATTTATGTGCCAGTGGTTTTCGAAATACCAATTGTCTTGCTTAATAACAAAATCTCTCTATTCAGCAACATAAAAAACGGAAAACTGGTTATGAATCATTTCAGCTAGGTAAAATAGTTCACTGCTTCTAATCAACGAAGAGGGTACGCACAGAAAGAGGATATGCGTCCACTCCTCCGTCAGATCCACTACCCCTTCTCATAATTTCCTTATAAGAAAAGGGCGGAAAGGGAACGTAGACTAAAATTAGACCTCAATCACGCACACTCATCAAACGAAACGCTAAATTGCTACCACTTCACACTAGTCGTCTGTGTGATCATGATTTCACCGGAAAACCCAGCCCATTCGTATACCCAACAAATATTGATGCTGTGGGATCCACCATCGTCCACTTAATTCGAGTATAGGTGACAGAGGAAATCTGCGTACAAGCATTGTAGCTTTCAATAGTATTCAACCCTTTGACAAGTATGTCGTAATTCGCAGTAGTTTATAACAAAGGTACGGCTTTTCAACTGTCGGTCGTCATGTTAGTCAGCCTCGTGATCTTGCTGCCTATATACTAGAAGAGAATTCCTAGTATCTAATTACCAAAAATAAATCCTACAAATACTTCAAAGTTACGCTTTTTGTCAATAGTGTCGTTAAGATAGTACATAGTATAGATGTGTAGCTTATATGCTAATCACGTAGCATTCAAGTCTCATAATAATGAAAGTTACTTCGCCACTATATTCAGTGGAGTCATTTCCAAGATTTCGCTTCGTTCCTAGATCTTACCCAAGTACCATCAGCGTTCAGATTTTAAGGGCAGTCTTAAAGTCGTTAAATGAAATAAAACCAATTGGAATGGTCACACATACACAAATACAGGAAAACTAAACTGAATTTAAAAAGGCAGGTAGGAATGTTGTAAATTGTCATCTTTGCAATGAAAAATGTCTTGACAAGTAGCTAAAAATTCCCAATTTGGTTTATTTTTTCTAATCATTGCTCTGGAACATTGAGATATAGAAATACCAATTGATCCTTTTCTATCAAGAAAATCTGAATTGTTAACAATCATCTTGTAGATTACCTAAAATAAAACATGCAATCTCAAAGGTTAATTGTTGGATTTTCAGGACCTGAGTATATCGTAATTAGTGAGTAAGACAAAGGGGCATGCTGGATGATGAGGGTCCTGCGATCCCCGGCGCGGCAAGCTGAGCCGAAGGGGCTGGAGGGGCCGGCGGGGCTCGCGACGGGCGCGAAGGCGACGCCGCTTCTTGCCAGAGCCGCATTCCTCGCTCCTCGCATTCCGCACCCACTCCGCGACCTATCTGCTAACTCTCGCACTCGGAACACACCCGTCCTTCGTCTAACCTTAAATTATTGCTTGGTTCAAGGACGTTTTCAAGAAATATCCACGAGGGAACTGCTTTCTGATCTGTCGTATTTTATATCATATTATCATCCACGTGTACTCTAGTACACGTGGATGATAATCTTCTGTGTAGTTACAGCAAGCACTTTAAACCGGAAAAAGTTGTTTTGATAAAAATATTTCAAAGAGTAGGATAGATACTAAAGTTTTCTTTAAACTAAACCCTATTACTTTGTTTACGGTCATTGGCTCTGAAAATAATCGTCTCAATTAACTGCTTGACAGTTTTGCATACAATCGAGTATACGAATATAATTGCGAGAGGGTCAGTTGGCGGATAATTGTGCGGTAATGTATGGAGAGGGTGCGGTGCGGTCGCAGGGTCGACGCACGGTGGGAGTCCTGCGGCCGCGCATTCCTGCCCGTTTCCACCTAGAGACCAGGAAGCGTCCGCGCCGCGAATACTTTGCCCTATTAGACGCGCACGTTGCACTCAAATTCTATCAGTTTCGGTTTTAGTTCTGCATACTTAAACTTTACTATAAATAGACAAGCGACGTTGACATACAGTTACGTATTATTTCTTTTGTGTGCGCGTATAGTCTGCGATTGCGAATCTACGTAATCTTTAGGGTTCCGTACCTCATAGGAAAAAAAAACGGAACCCTTATAGGATCACTTTGTTGTCCGTCCGTCTATCTGTTAAGACCCTTTTTTTATGAAATACATATCGCAATTGAAGTTATGGTAAACAACTATATATTCTAACAAATGATATAATAAATATTTTGCAAAACTGGATAAAACTGACTACTACTGTGTATTCTGTGTGCAGTAAATCTTCAAAGTTTCAAATCGTTAAATGAAACTTTCAGAAATCGTGTTCTAACTTCGCAAATAGTTCAAAATCGCGTGATAATATAACTCGTGCGCAAGACGGTCTAAGTGGCGGCCGGGCGGCGCCAGGGGTTCTTAGAATCCAACGGATTGCGAATATTTGCAACTTTTACCTATTTGCTATCATTTGCAATGCGAGCACGTATCACGTATGCTCTGTTCTTTGAGACCACTCGTCATTTGATAAAACTGGAAATTTAATAATCTTGGGAGAGACGACCGAAGCATGTACCTAAACGATGACGGACATTTATTAAAACTCAACAATTTCACTAACCTTCTTAGTTTTAGAAACTTTTATCGACAGTTTTTCTGTAGTTACAGTAATCCTTAAAGGAAATGGAGCGTTCACTAGCAGCATAAAGCTAACAAGAGAACATAGTTTTTTGATTTATGTTTATGCATCGAATACCTAGGTTCAGATAATACTCGTGTTTTGTAAAATGTTAGAAAATCAGTATAAGTGATAAGAGTGTTTGGTGTCCGGCGGCGGGCGGCGCGGTCGCTAAATGAATTAGTGTGAAGAGGAATGGGGTCGGACAGTCTGGCTGCGTTGGCATCCGGCCTAACGACGCACGCGCGCATTCTCCACATCTAGCCGGCCGCTACCGCCGCCACCGCCGCGCCACCGCCGCGCCACCGCTCCTCGCTCACCGATATACTTATGTCACTGCGCTGAACGCTCTTTATGTAATTGTCTAAAAGAACACTCATTTCACACGTGTATTTCGCTAAGGCAATGACTTCTCAGCGCGTGTAAATCTCACGTAAACTTGTATAATGTTATTGACTTACCAAAAAGCTCTCCATACTGAAAACCCTGCGGCTTGGAGAGGCAAGCTGACAGCGAGGCCTTCGGGGAAATTCTGAATCCCGATGCCGAGCGCCAAATTTCTAAAGAAAAAAGAAAGGCAAAGGTTAATACATGCATAAATTCAACCTTAACTCGCTTAACAGTCACAAAGGTATGCGACAAAAGCTTCGGAGCGTTTAAAGTGGAATACAGCTAGCTATGTGGGAGGTAAATGCAGCAAGACATTTGAGGAGAGGAGGCGGTGCCCCCCGTGCCCGCGGGCACCTGTCGTTCCCCGCGCGCGCTAGGAATGCGGCTAACTGTACAGCCTCCGGCACCGTTAAACCCAACCGTCCCTACTAAAGGTCGCCGCCACTACCACCTTACATAATAGCGAAACATTTGCATAATAATACTGGCAGCGTCATAACTTATATTGCAACTATGCGATTGCGAATATGAAAACCATGTCTTGGATTACATCGAAATATATTTGAGGTATGATAATTCGTGAATAGTTGAGTCCCAAAGTTCACTTAGATCTGTAGACTTTCGACTTAACTGAAAAGTTATAGTCTGGATCATAGTTTGAATTATAAATTAATCGCCACAAACATGGCTGCTATAGTTTTATTTATATCCGATATCTAATTTCTAAAATATGAATTTGTATGTCTAACAATTAATTAGTTAAAAATGTTTTAAGAAATTGTTTTTAATTAATATGATTTTATTGTTATATTCCTATTTAATGTAATAATAAATTTCTGATTGAGCAATCAATATCATAAAAGGCATGAATATAGTCTCTTAGATGACAAATGGCCATGCATTTGCAACGTCGCGAATATGTGCGAAGTTTCGTAAGCTCATAGTTGAATGGTTAACCTACAAACATAGATGTAGAGCAATCAGCTTGAATATTACAATACATATTTTCACCACGTTGTGTAAGGTGAACAGGAGTTAACACATTCAATGCCACATCGATCTTAACGTACTAAATTGACATAGGGGCAGTCAGTGGCACCGAACACAACTATTTGTTACTATTACTGCGGGGTAAGACAAAGTGCAATTCGCTTCGAAGCGATTCCATAGCGAACTTCAAAATGTATGGAACTGACGCGCGACAATCACGTGGCTTATCGAAACTTTTTTTTAGTTCTATACATTTTTGAAGTTCATTATGGAATCGCTTCGGAGCGAATGCGCTTTGCCTAGCCCCGCTGATACAGAGGTTTGGACATTATTGGTATTTGGGCTCGACAAATATTTAAATAAAAATAGTTCTAAAAACTATTAAACATATTTTAAAAACACATCAAACTGTGATCCTTGGCAGGAAAACAAATGAAGTTATTGCGCGGACACAAATCAGTCTGGTTGTCTTGAAGTAATCCAAATTTCACTTCGTAAGTTCCATTAAATACACAAATATATTTAAATCTTGTTTAAAAATATTTTCAATAATGTTTCTTAGATAAAGAAGGTCAATTTAACTGGAATACTGCTTCAATATTCTCACAGTACGCTGTACATAACAGTGCATGTACTAATTGTGGTGCTGAACAATCAGATTGACAAAGGCAACCAATTGAAGCAATTACGATACTGTTAGTCGTTGTTGGGGCCACGGACTGTTAATTATCCTGTACTTGGAAGGGGCGTCGGTTGCAGCTGTTGCGACTTATGAAACGAAACTCTTACTACTTATGTTTAATTACATATTTTGCATGTTATTGTTTTTAATAAAATTATAACAATCGCATCAAACATTATATAACATGTTGGAGTTTAAAGTCAATCAATACAAAAACATATAATTTTTAGGGTTCCGTACCTCATAGGAAAAAAACGGAACCCTTATAGGATCACTTTATTCTCCGTCCGTCCGTCTGTCATGACCCTTTTTCTCAAAAACGCGTGAAGATATCAATCTGGAATTTATTTAGCATAATCAAATTGTAGACATTTAACTTTATAACAAAGAAATTTGTGTTCAATAAAGCTATTCGAATCTTCGTTCATTGTGCAAACAGCAAAAGATTGGAACAACATTGTCGACGTCAGAATCTCCCTCCAATAGTGGATTGGGCGTGGGGTGAACAGGGTGCTAGACAACCGGAGTACCGATTACAGTAGTTATTTTAGAATTGAACAATATATCCTATAGAAGAGATATATGCATTTCTAAGCTTCACGAATAAATACAAAAAGATCGATATATTTAAACGAGTCATCGACGAGTCGTCAATAGATCAAGTTCTTGCAAGAGTCAATAAACATCGAGAATCGTGACGAAATACCACAGCATTGGTGTTGATCAACTTACGTATCCAGTACACATATAGCTCAGTTTTATCGATATGTTGATGCAATCGTGTAAGATTTATCGATGCACAACATCGATGTCAATCGATAACGTGCCGCGGAATCGTAACTGTCGTTTGATAGAAAATAATGGGGCTCTTAAGTGTATTTATTCGAAACCTATCATTTAAAATATCGGTCCGGTGATATTTTGTACGGTGTTCGATTTCAAATGATGAACAGTCAAACAAGGAAATATAAATGCTTGATCGAAAGCCAAATTGTTTGGCTTCGTTTTAACGAGGCAATAGTCCGTCCGAATATCAGTTAAGTTATTTACTTTCTTGTGCACAAAATATAAAAACAATTAAAATTTTACATTAGGAATACATCAGTTTGCTGAAAATTTGACATTAGTTTTCGATAAAAATGGTTTAGAATTTCGTAATCGGATTATTATTTAAATATGGCGGCATTTATAAAAAGCTTTGAACTTGTTTCGTCTGATACCATGTAGTGGAAATAAATTCATTAAGTATTTAAAAACTAGCGGATGCTTACTTCCTCAGGTCAGAATAAGAATTAGCCTATGTTACTCCTGCACACGTAAGCTAACTTCCAGTAAAATTTCCTTCAAAATCGGTCTGCCGTTTCCGAGATTACCCGGAACAAAACATACATACAATGTACATTTGGAAGTAAAATAATTAATTTACATTTTCTAATTTTTCTTGCACTTTCCATGTAAACATGGCTAAAAATTATTGAATACTAAACTAAACATAAGGGATAAATTAGTATAGTATTAAAGAGTTATAATAAATAAAAGTTTATATTAAAAATAGAGGAACAGCACGGCGCGCACTGATTTCGAGTAGGAAAAAGCTGCGGCGGTAAACTTATTATGTCAACAGTTTCGCATAGAAACTTTATAAGTGAACGGCGTAACGCTGACTCCGGATACATCCGAATTCCAATTACATCACTGACGAGTCCATTTCACTTTCCGACCTACCCGGAAGTGAATTCCTAAGCGCGAGCATACCGCGCGCCCGATATTTCGGTTGCAGCGCCGCGCCGTTATGAACCTTATGGTTTCCAATAATAGAGTTCTGCCGCAAAGCCTTCGTGGACGACGTCGGAGACGAGCATAAAACGTCGAAGCGGATGTGAATGTTCGCTTGAGTTACACGAAAAGTGACTTAGTTTTGGTGCGTTAGAGTGTAAAATATTGTGCGGTTCGGGCGTACGGTCGCGAAAGTCGCGGCAACTTTCACGAGGCGACGGGATGGGGGCGCGAGAGACGGCTGCGCGGGGCTGCCGACGCGACGGCCCATTGACGACACCGTGACCTAGATACCGAGGTTCCATTCATACTGCGGCCTCGCCGCCGATCCGCATGCGCAGGACCAAAGCCCGCGCCGAGCACTCGCCGACGTCGGAATTTCCATCGACCATTTGCACAACCTGAGGCCGACGGTGGCGGTGGCGATGGAAGCGGCAGCTGCGGTTGTCGCAATCAGAGCTGGTCTATGCGCGCAGGCCGAGGCCGTAACATCAGCATCGCACTTGTTCAATTAGAGCTTCACCTCGACATACCCACAAACTCATGTCTATCCCCATTTTCGCTTAAAATTGCTTGCGTACTCAATCACATAATTTCATTCATATAGTTTACCCACATCTCATTAGGATTATTCCATGCGACGCTTTAAAATATTTTAATAAAGAATGTAAAAAGCAATAAATATATCTTCATATACTACATATATTAGACTTTCTCTCACATTCGAATATTCTCACAACCCAAAAATGCCTTTCATATCGTAATGAATGATATGTTACTGACCGATTTCTACGGCATTTAACACTTTTGAGGAACGCTTTGTTTGTAACGCTATAATTATACGCAGAAGAAATCGTTACATCAATTATACACAACGGGTTTGTACTAAACATTTATACGTCCATATAACATTCCGCAATACGTATACAAATTTAAATGCAGTGCGTCGCTCGCTCGCTCGCTCGCTCGAGTATCCGGCATGTTGAGTAAAAGTTGCGTACTGTACATTAAGTTACATTTGATTCTATGACACGAAAATCATTTACGTAAATGACCAGAAGTCAACATCGACAAATAGGTTTTGTTGTCACAAAATGGCGGACTTAAGGAGAATGCAAGGAGAGCAGCGATAAGATTCCATAGTACAGGGTCATCAAGAGTTACATTAATACAGATGCGTGTTGGATAGTGATCGATGAAGTGGTGAGACTAGGCAGCGGTGGCGGGGGCGGAGTGGGGAGGTGCGGGGCGGGGAGGGCGGAGGCCAGCCGCCAGACAGCGGGGCTCCGCTGGGAGGCCAGCAGCAGCCTCTTGCATAGCGCCCGCCTGCCGCCGCCGTGACAACACAATCTGCTCCACTTCGATTCGAATTGCATTATGATATCGATTCTGATTTTTAAACACATTTAATAATATGAATGTTTATATTTTCAATAAAATAAGCAGATATACTATATGACAAATGTGAATATTTTAATATTTATGACTAGCATAGACCCAAAGTAAAATGGTTTTACTGTTCTTTAATAAATAAGGATTAATTTAAGTTCTGATTAATTTTTAACTGATACTGCAACACAAGTACATCAACCTAGTGAATGCGTAAACATGAACTAGAGATTCGAGTGAAGTTTCTGGGTACAGGATAAGGCTATTAACTTAATTGTTGAAATAAAAATAACTGTGGCATATTGGTGTCTCTTCGGTCAAATTTGAATCGCT